ATGTTCGTCGATGTACTTCATTTGAGGGATGGAACAGGAGGAGATCGAACTGCGCTCGGGTCCCCAGTCCAGAGCTCACCCAGGCGGTTGAACGGCAACGGGTGATTGGTGACTATTATCAACCGAGAGAGGGACAAATGAAACGGCCACTACCGACTTATTTGTCGTCGTTATCCTGTCCTACCTCCAGTCTCAGACTGGCAGATCAGCAGACTCCAAACCGGTCCCCTTCGCAACTGAGCACTGAGGTAAACATCCCTCCATGGAATTAAGAGTTCCTGTCTTTTCGGCTTCGATCCGGAATATTTTATCAGCTATTCGTCCTGCTTTACCGGCCGGGGACGGCAATCATGTCAGAACTTTCCATTTCAGTTTACCGTTCTTCTGACAGTAGTGCCTCTCGACAGCACTTTGTGTTTAACAACTCGTTTTCCTGATGCTTGATATCAGCCCACTAACTCAGTCCAGTTCCCTTGTGAGAAGAAGGTTTTGACAGATTTCGTCGAATCTGTTCGTGGGCAAGGTTGCCTGAGATATTCGGCAAACTTTCTGAACTAATTTCATGCTTTCCTGTCGTTTAAATATAACGGTAGTCGATCTGGAGCTCGAGTCGATTTCTATTATTCTTACAAGGTATTTGTTGTCAGAGTACTCCCAGAAGAGGGGTGTTATTTTAAAATATTAACTCTCAAAGGATATGCGGTTGCGTTAACTTAGGAAGAGCACGCACCGTAAGAGATTTATTGCAGATACAGTTGACCCCCGCGCCTTTGCGGCACAGTGCTCGCGACTTTCTTTTTTCGTAAAGCATATCTAAAACATTCGCAAGTTATTTTCCCTTCTTTTCACGACTGAACACATTTTCATAATAAAAGCGATTTACTGGTTTTTAAATATTACTATTAACAAATGTGATATTGATGCCAAATGAGTAAATATTTGTAATAATAATTTAGTGATAAATATTAATATTACGTAAACGCAGCGAATGGTAGAAAGCTATTCAGGATGATGGTTTGAAGTATATTTAGTGTTTGGACATTAAAATAGGCAGTTATGAGGGTTTATAGAGGGGTTTCAAGTGTTAGGGCCCTAACCTCTGCGGATGCCTGGGGTCGACTCTATACCGAACAGTAGTTGGAACTGATATCGCTCAACGGAATCTGGCGAAGCGAGTATATTAAAATTTACGACTAAACTCAGCAAGTAATTTCGTCTAGCACTACCTTTTAGACCAGTCACTTACCCTTTTCCAATCTTGCATCGTATTAGAGATTAGACTGACGCAGGGCGTCAGCGTTGTCTACGGCAGTGCTAGCAGATGTTGCATACTATTTACATTGGGAATAAAGGACTTATTTGGTCAGAAGACTTTATTTTGATTAGAGGCTTCCGAGGTTATCTTCAGATATAACCATCCGCAAATTCTGCCGGTGCAAATACTGAAGTCGCGAGACTAGTCACAGTTCCCAGTGCGAAAAAAATTCACTAAGGTAGAGATATCCCGTGAGAAAAGGGCGAAAACGCACAATAGTTAACAAATACCAATACTTTATGCAAATGGAGCAAATTATTTTATCCATTTATTTAGACAGGTTCAGTTGGATTCCGTCTTCCTTATGGGGGTCGTTCACTCGAACATAAGCAAGCACTCCTTACAAGTGAGCCGAAAACTATCGAGACTGTGTAAACGGCCTGTGTCTCAGACTAGAATGTGACTATACTCACTGCTCATATAAAAATAATCAGCAGCCGTGAACACACGGAGCCACGTAAATACCATTATAATATTACCACATTCGAAAGAAAAGAAATGCCTCCGGTCCTAGCATCCAAACGGACTTGTTCCACGGGACTCTCGAAAAGTTAAAGTTAACAGTCCGTAAATCAGCCATTAATTTGCCATTGAAGTGTGAGACTAAGTGAATAGGTTCGTGAGTAAAAGGAATTTTGCGAAGACACAAACGTTTATAAATAGGTGGGTTTGGTGATTTTTGCAGCATGTGAATAAAATATCACTTGTGACTAGACGTCACATAGAAACGGAGTTTTAAAACATACTGGCAACCGCTTTGTAGGATTTCATCATGTGCAAAAAGAAAACAGGAGACATAAGGCAGCTAATTAGTGGCATAAATAAGGCGCAGACCCAGCCTCGAGTCCACTAATGTCGGCATAACAAAATGTCCCTCAATAAGGATATACACGACAGTGAAACTGAAACAAAACTGTGGAGCGCGCAATGGAGGACCTATGGAGGAGGAACAGGCGGCTATCTAGGTTAGTTTTGACAGCTTGCCAAATAGTCCAAGACAAAATGTCAACACAAAAGCCCAGAGTAACAGGAGAAAAAAATTCAGACCAACAACAACAGTTAACCCTTTGTCGTATTTAAGCCTAAACAGCTACAATAAAGCATATACGACAGGCTACAGACCACAGTGTCAGAAAGTTAGACTGTGCTGAAGAAGTTACGTGATAACAACAACGGTTTACAGTGTCTCTAAGAGTTAGTAATCTATGAGACGTTAAGGTCAATCAGGAAAAGTGAGGGTCTTCAAGCAGAGCCGTCAGGTATGTTTTGCATTCAGTTTGAAATAAGAAATGTCAGTGCTCCATGAATGAAGCGCAAGACGAATCACGCACACTGAACAAAACCGGGAGTCCTGACCACTGTTTCCGCTGACAGCAGCTAACATGCTGTTCACGTAATCCGCTACGTGTTATGCTAGAACCTAAGGGTGAGAAGACCGAACTGTCGGGGTGTTACTTCCGCAAAACAGCCAGTGAGTATCGGTCAAATTATTTTTCTTCCTTACTAAATCGAAGTGATGTTGTAATGTTAGTCATGAATACTTGGTGCAACAAAATGAAGACGAGGAAAGCCGAAACGTCCGTCGAACTATAGATCAATTATAGGACAACACTGGCAAGACGAAAAACGCACGGAATGTTCGACGAAGTGATTTACAATGGTAGGGGGCGCTCACCAATCGTCCTTACGGAACTCACTCGTCCCGTTTTGCCTTAAGGGATCTCACACGAGCTCAACCAGCAGCCGCACAGCGGCGCATGATATGGGCAGTACGTTATTGCTGGCAAAGACAAGGGAGACTAGAATGGCCATTTCTAGCTTATTAGCAGTCGTCAGCCAGTCATACCCAACCACGAAGTGTGGAATACTCGAGGCTTGAACCTGCGACCTGTTAGTTAGGAGGCCACGCCTCTAACCACTGGTTAGCGAATCAAAGAAACAAGGGAAAAAGGTCAGTGGGTTTCTAACCAGAAGTCAGCTGAACCTCTAGAGAAGTGGATTCCAGAGGACTTTTAAAAGTGCCCGATTACTAAAATGCAGTCTCCAAAGAAGTACGAGAGCTGGGACTTAATTACGTAAACTTAGATGGATGAGGGAGTCGCAATTGTGGGAAGCAGAAAGAAATAAAGGAATTTTTCACAGTTCTAAAGTCCTTCTCGTCAAAAAGATGCGCATCTCTCCTTAAACCCTCAGGGCTTAGTGATTTCAGAGGAAATAGCTTATTTCGGAAAAGATTATTCGAGGGGAATCACGAAAATTATGACAAGTAGGGTCCCTTTGTACGGTTGAAATATGACAAATTTTTCTCACGAATCGTACTAGTAAAGTTTTTAACATTATTTTGGTTCAACTTGAAGACCTTTTGATCCTGCAGTACTTTCCACTGTCTTCAAGTCGGTACGCATTATATTTCCCATAATAGACAGTTAGATGTCGTCAAAACAAAAGGGTCATAAGCCTGATATGCACATTTTGTGATTTCACGGAGAAAAGCAAATAGAGGGGACTTACAAAATTTTGGATCCGTAGCAAGTAATTTAAATCGCTACACGAATTCAGGAACGTAAGCTCATTTGTAACCTAGTTGTGACACATCTTCCAAAACTGGGTCCGACTGCATGGCGGTGTGTGCTTAGTGCACACAAAAGGATCTAGATAATATGCTTAAAAGTATTTCTTGTATGACCTTAAAATTGTGGGGCCACAGGAAACTTATTCGACGAGAGGGAACATTTACTTCGGACGTCTTCAATTGGTTCCTGGACAAGCAGTACTAGAATTCGTTTGAGACAGTGTGAGGAATTCTTTGGGGTCTGGTCTTGTGACCTATCGTACCAACGATGCTTATATATTAAGAGAGATGCACTATGAAACATCAAGCAATAGGAAGGACATTAAGGCTCAGAATGTCATCCAGTGTTCTAACGATTAAGATAAAGGCAAAAGAGCTGCGATCGGTTGGAAACATAGCCACTTAATTAATTCTTGCGTACAACAATCGCAAGTACATTACATATTGTCGAAGAGAGCCCAAAAACTCTAAATAGAGATGAATATTGATGCTTGCTGGTTTCAAATCGGACATTGAGAACTTCAATCCTGCCTTTTACATTTGGCTGGGTGGTAGAACGAACCACACCGAAACTAGAATTAATCATTTACAATGTGCACTAAAGGGCCTATCAGGTCCGCTCGCAAAAGACAAATTTGAACTCTACAGAAAAAAGCTACCGCAACTGATGGACAAAATAAGTTTTTCCCTACCAGTAATTAACGAGAAGGAGAAGACTTAACGAAGTGTGGCCTTCTTCTTTGTTCGACCAGAGAAACTTTAGTGATGAGATTGAAATGACTGTGCTTGCGAAATTCAACTCGTCAGTACTGGTGACTGCAAAGTTCGCCATAAGGTTCATAGGTTTGAATCTATACAGGTCACTGCGATGCGTAAAGACGCGGGAAATGGCAGGACGGCTAATATTTCTGAGGTATGGCATTGACGTCCTAACCTTGACCTTAACTTCTTTTACTGAACCAAAGGCCATTAGTTTATTGGAAGGGGCAGTTCAAAGGACATTAACCCAAAGCCGACTGGAGATATAGCAGATCGGTCATATATCTTACTCAAAACTAGTTAGTCAAGAAAAAGGACACTTCATTCCCTCTTGACGCCAAAGGTCCATCTGAAATGGAAGCACTGTTGCGATCATTCGAATGGTGCCTAATAATCGGCCTCTATTGCCTTTTATGTAAGTTTTTGGCTGAATTTAAGCCGGTTTGAAAATTCATGGATCGAGATGTATTTTAATATGTTGATTTATGTTGTTTTACCTCTGATGGACGACTTATTCTCTTATCGTTATTGAGTTTATTATCTTTTGCCCGGCCTTTGAAATTGCCCAAAATTAGTCTCGTAAGAGAGTCGCGTGACTCATTTTTGCATTTCCAAATCTGGCATTTGCCGCTTCTCCGTTCTTTACAGATTCTAGGCAATTCCAATTTTAAAGACTTTCCATGAGGTTTAATCGTTATCCGTAATGCCGGAATTTAACGTAAAGTTTTTTTCATCAAGTAACATAAAATCTTTAATTTTCGTGCTTTGTGCTACCCAAGGAGGCCAATACGGCACCCGTAGTTCCATGAACAGATGTGGTAAGTTGGGGTGTGAGGCTAAATGACTTTTACATGGGTCTTCTGGTGGCGAGTTTTCACTCGTCTCACGGCAAGTGCGCAGATGCCTGCAGAGGCGAACACGTAATTGGAAAGTATGGCCACAGCATAGGCAGACTGACATTTGGGCACCGTCAGTTGTTGTCATTTGTCTCTTGGTGAAGTCAGGGTTTCAGTGACCGCGGAGGCGTCTGACAAGGATGAGATCTGATTGACAATTTTGGTGACGTCAAGAGCATGTGCGAGCTGCTTCTCTGTCGATTCTGTCGTTTTGTGTGGGGGATAGTGCCGGAGTTGTTGTTTTGTATAGTGTTCCGTTCGATCGCCTAATGGCCTCACGTCACGGTCAGACTTTAGACGGCGTGGCCGCCAGTGTTTGACTAGGGCACCTTTTCTACCATTTGAGAGTAAAAGCAATACGTTCCTGAGTAAAATTAGTTAATCGTCTGAGGTGATCACCAACTTTCACATTGAGTTCTGATTTTAGTTTTTTTGAAAAACGATCAAAATTAGACTGCGCCGCTCACGGTATTGCATGTCGACCTATTCACAGGACTCTTTGGGGGAGGGCAGTGAGAACGATGATAGTAGCTGAATAGTGGAGTTAGGTTACGTGTGAAATAATAATGATAATGGTTTACGAAACATCAGTCCTCACTCCAACCAATGCCACCGTAGTTCAGTGACAGGATTATGCCAAGACGACTGTCATGTTATTGACTTGACATAAGTCTCATCTACGCCTACTACGAAGTGGGTTCTCTCCTATGGTTAGGATGCCGATTGAACCCGTTATCGGAATGCAGCCGTTTTGCAAGGCGAGGTTTCGTGAACCTGCAGATCAGAGTTAGACGGTATATAAGGGTCCACCTGAACTACCACGACCTGGATCGAAGTCTATCGAGCAACCTGCCACACTGCCTTACTCTCAGGGATTTTCTACGTCAATTATTCCAAGGACATACTTTTAGTAACTTTTTGCTTCGTTACCGATGTACTTTAGGCTTCAGTGTAATCCTTTCGTTCAAATTCCGAGTTCGACACTCGTTTGTTCTCGTTTGATCATTGCTAGAAGGCCGGCATTTATTTATCTACTGATCTGTCACAGATGCTTAAAACGATTGTTTAGTTAGAATTTAATTCTACTCCCTTGTCACAGCCTGGATAAATGAAGGACGGGAATTTTTACTGACTTAGGCCGACGATTGGGTGCTACACTCCACAAAACTTTGTATGGGGGCGGAAAGGCGGCAATTAGATGCCATCAACAAACGTTCTGAATTTTACGTCACTCCGGGGTCTTTAGGCGAATCAACCCTCTGAATAACAAGAAAAATGGCTTCAAGCTCATTCTTCTGTTCCTGTTCATCTGCGTAGTTGAGTTAGTTTCCTAAATGCCATTATTTTGAATCTGAACAGTTCGGTTTAACTGCGCATTATAAAGATCCCAGAATTCGGTTCGGCTCCGAACTTATTATTGAAGGCGAAGTAGCTTTTGAAGTGTTGTTTACTAGCGACTGGTATTTTGACAGCACTATTGCGTATAGCGCCTGCAAGTTGTTCGTAAAAATAATGTCCGAATTTTCCTTTTCTCTACTCATATGGGCTACGTAACGTCCAAATTGTGAATAAATCTAGATAACCCATTGTTTTAGTTTCCAAGAATTCGCAAATACGTTTCCCTCAAACTTTGCAAAACGTCCGCTCTGCAACTTTCTGTGAATAGGATTCTCCTTTTTTGCTGTGCAGAGGGAATTGTAACAGTTATTAAGGAAGCAATCAGTTTCGACACTATAAACACTAAACAGTAGTATGAATTAGTTTTTTATTTTCTCCTTCACGTAGTTTTGAACGCAGAGAACGTTACGAGTGAATCACCACGGTGTGCAGCAGGGTTTTTCAAACTCGGAACTTCCTGCTTCTTGGTGCGTTACTTAAACTATATTGTCGTTGTTGACTATGAGCTTATCTTAAGAGATTGCCATCTCAAACACCTTTGAAATGTTGATGCAATGAGTCCTAGATTTTCATTAGGCAGGTCAAAAAGACCAGCTGTTTCACCATGCAAACCATTTCTAAAGGACGTCATACGTGTATTTTCTTTTTTCAGCAATTTTTTGTCCCAGTAGTTAACTTTCAAAGTGACGCCAGCCAGTCACACCCAATCCCGGGTTTCGAGGACCTGGCATTTAAACCTGGAATTGAGTTTAAGTGAAACGGTCACCTATGTTCCCAACGTTGAACGATAAATGAAGCTAAGCATTTTAGACAAGAAGTAGATGCGTATTTCTCAGCGAGCTTACGCAAACCAGGATTGAGAGCCTTTACAGTAACCGGAGAGGATTTACTTTCCAAGGTCATGAAATACAATCTTTCTGATTTGAATTACCCAGACTAACTTGCAGGCTTGGACACCAACTGGCAGTAAAGAGGCGAGACCGCTTATCCTAAGTCGACATGCATATGCTAGAAACTTGGCACAAACTTTCTTGGGATAAAACGCGCATTGTCGGTGTCTGTCCATATAAGGAAGACCGATAATTTCTGGAGACCATACACCCAGGTGATTTGTGCATCAATAGACGCCATGTACATAAATCTCAAGGAAAGATGGAAAAGGCGATAGCCAATCAAAACATGGCTTCAGCCCACAGCATTGACCCATTGGCAGCAATGACAAGGCGATATCGACTTTTTCGGGGATTGTTAAGTTTCCCGAAGGACTCACTTCCTTCAAATTATATCTCTCAGGTTGGTATGCTGACGAAAACAAGGGAAGCCGAAATGGCCATTTCTAGTTTGTCGGCCGTCATCAGTCGATCATGGCCATCCCCAGGTGCGGATTCGATTACGGAATCTTTGGTCATTCCGGTCTCCCTTGGCATTATCAATGCCAGTCTATCTATTTATACTAATAGTTCAGCGAATATTCCCACGTTACAATTGAAAAGTCAGATTGGCTAACACGTGTTTTCGGTAATTCTTCGTCAGACCAATACAATTACATGAAGGAGTGAAAATTTACAAAGTTAACAGTGTTTATAGGTGTCGCAAGGTCAATTAAGTCATTAACACTCATCTTTCCCACGCCGTCTGGCAGATAGTACCACCGATATCGACGACCTTGTCCAAAAGTTCAACAGTGCGCACGCTTCGCTAAAGTTCACTGCTGAGTCTGAGGCAGATAACGAAATTGCGTTTTTCGATGTCCTTCTACACAGGCAGGAGGATAGGTCTATCCAGCGCAGGGTGTTCCGAAAGAAAACCTGGACGGGACAATACATTAATTTCCACAGTTTTGTTCCCCTCAACATCAAACGAAATCTAGCCCAGGGATCGGCAGCTAGAGTGAGGCGCATCTGCTCACCTGAAGCTATTGAAGCAGAGCTCCAACAGCTGCAGAACACACTCCGCGAGAACGGATATCCAGATAGATTTATCCTCCGTATTCATAAGACTGCCTTTTGCCGGGGACGCAGCGAGCCAACTAGTCAGACGGCGCTTAGCTACAGCTGTTACGAGAGCATTCCCCGCGGCGAATTTATGCGTATGTTTCCCAAACTCTCCCCTCCTACGTTTGGGATGTAAAGACAGACTACCGTTGGAGGGCACATCAATGTGCATCTACTCATTCACTTGCTCCTGTGGAGCGGGATGCATCGGTCTTACAACGAGACACCTGGTAAAGAGGGTGCGTGAACATATGCCCGCCTGGCTAGACAGAGGTGAGACCCGATCGGTTTCGAGCTCTATTCTCGCACATTTAATCGATACGGATCACCGAGTCGATGCCAAGGAAGCATTTCAGGCTGTCTATCGGACACCAACAAGCTTCGCTAAGGGCCTACGCCAACGGATACTAGCAACGGCCGAGGCAGTGGCTATACGGCTGGCGAATCCGGTGCTATGCTGTCAGAAAACCCTGACACAAGCGCTCTCTCTGCCGTGGCCAACGCCAACCTCACGTGATGGCGACATGCCGCCTCAAATCCCTGATTACAGTGATGGGTACTCTGTGCATTCAATCCAAGAACATCACTCAAAGACTCGTTTACCCCCTCCCCCAGGTCTAAGGACCTAAACCCGCCGACCTCGTCATGCGGGCGGCGTGGGAAAGATGAGTGTTAATGACTTAATTGACCTTGCGACACCTATAAACACTGTTAACTTTGTACATTTTCACTCCTTCATGTAATTGTATTAGCCTGACGAAGAATTACCGAAAACACGTGTTAGCCAATTTGACTTTTCAATTATATTAATAGTCGCCATGAGACTGGCTGCGAGGGTTCTATTTTGATCCCCAAGGCTAGAAGAGACGAGCACGTCTCGTACCTTTTATATGTATACATAGATGTATCCCGTTCACCGTCTCATGGAATCGTCTCTTCTTCTTCATGTTCGTCTGGAGATGAAGAACGGGATAATTTATATATATTTTATATGGTAAAGGCATTATACCGTACTCCCGACATAGATACTTGCTAAAAGCCCAGACACGTGTTTCGCCGATATTCTGCCGCTGCGTGACACAGCTGCGAGGGGTTCGGCTCTTCAGTGGGACCCCCAGCGTTCTCTAGCGGTTTCTGGTATATGAACTCCAGGGAATAATCAAGTGAATAATTTCAGAAATTACTCAGTGCAGGACTTGGAGTTAAATCTCCTGGACATGAGTTTATATATATATATATATATATATATATATATATATCTGCACATTGGATGTCATATCTCACAAAATGTTAACCGAGATTCTGAAATATGCTTTCGATCCGAAGAGGTTACTTCGGCAGGGCTGTAATGTAAATTAGTGTAGTGTAAATTTTGAACGAACCACTTTTACGGCCGCCCGCGAAATGCTCACTCTGCAAAGATGACCACCGAAGAAGTAGGAATTTTGTTCATTATCCTTTTGAATTCGAGCACATTTTATAGAAAAAATGCGTGAAATATTCTGTTTTGTGCATATTAAGTTGCAAAAACGTCTTCCATAAAGTTCATTTTCGAGGAAAGGATCTCTTTCAATTCTGAAAACTTTTTCAACTTCCAAAAAAATAGAAACCCGAGTTACCGTTGCATTTGTAACCAGGGCTTCCAAATTATAAGTTGTATATTTTACTTGTAAGGAAAGTCATAAGGCTCACAAAAGTTTGCAATGGATATGGACCATTTCATGGTCATAAAAACGTCATAATTAGATGCTCAGTTAAAACCGAAAGATATTTTCTTCAAGTAAAAATGTAGTGTAGACGTAATTTCCTACCAAATAAGTACTAGAAAGAATGTTTGTGTAGGTTTTTCATGAAATGAATTGAAATTTATGAGGAAATTGAAAACAGCTTTGAAAAATTCATACTGTTTGGGTTGTTATATTCTTGCAAAGTAGAGTTTTCGCAGACGGTCGGAAGGAAGACCGTTTAAAAGCCAGCTCTCCGACGTGAATAAACTGTTCGGGTACTACACTGCACCCCATTGGCCCTTCCCAATCAAAAACGCATTTCAATATTTCAGCTAACATTTCACAAGATTAATCACTGATTGGACATCTGGCAGTGAGTATTATGTGCCACCCAAGTAAAAAATGGCCTCATCGCGGTGTCCGGAAACCCCCTCCCCATCCGGTCATCAATTGCTGCCAATGTGGTTCCTGATTTAGGTCCGAAATTCCAAATAAAACATCCTTTAAAGTCTTTGGGGTGGATTTTATCCGATCTACTGGATGTTTGAAATAAGATTCACGCAAAAGAGCTTAAAGAGGATAGTTACGTTTCATCCGAATTTGAAAAAGGAGTGTCGAACGGTATTCAGCTTGGGAGTCCTGTAGAGACTGGTCTAGCTCTAGTCTCTCCGGCGTTCCTTCCTACTTAAAAAGACATAGAAAGAGAGTTTAAAGTGCGTTTAGGCTAAAATACTCCTTCCTGTATGAGCGCGTGCCCCCTAAGCGGGCATTGAAGCACATCTTCCATACCACAGAAGTCAGTATAGGTATCATCCATCGTTTGGAGGCTACCATACGTCTAGGAGGCATGAAAATGAAGGATATACTGGACGCAGTTGGACACTTTACTGTGGATTATCAGACCGCATTGGACAACTACCCCTGACTGTCCACAGCTAACAATGACGTAGGCCACGAATGCGCGGCAAAAATGGGTGACCCGCTGGGGGCCGCCGATATATCGATCGTTCCTATCGATCTTTTCATCGAATGCAGGGTGCATTGAATCAGCCGTGATAACATCAGGTCGAAAAGCGATCTCATTTATGTTCTCTAGCAGGCAAGTATCTGCGTCAGATGCCTCCACAAACGGGCCATGTGGTAGATGCGCTGGGCCAACAGGGGAGCCATATCAAATTCTGGCAGGCGTTATCGGATTCTCACCCCATAACATGTGCCAACATTTGGAGGGGTGCGGTGGCAGACACGGTTTTCGACAGTCGTCGCGCACACTGGGATCCCTGCCGTTCGCCATTGATCAAAACCCTGGTCGTTTGTTGTGTGAACCAGAGGGTGTAGAGTAGAGCGCCAAGGTGCGGACTCGACCGTGCCATCCACCTGCGTCTTCCCCGCCTCCGGTCTTCTTGACTCTGTCTTGACACCGGGTCCAGATGGGGTGAGGAGGAGAGGGTGCGGTAGATGCTGTGCAAGTATACTCTCCCTATAAGCTAGTTCACGCGCAAGCCATCGTCCCTGATTCATCTTGCTGTAGAGCACACGATGGACACCGTTGGAATCGACGCTCGAATTGTCGTATGAGCGCAGGAGGGGACATTGCTGGGCGTAACGCAGCCCATGGGTTCGGGAGGTTTGACCGCTTGTCGAATGAGTCCTCGGAGTCGGTTTGTGGATTTTTCTCTCCTATAGGAGGAAGGGTTTGGGAGATTTTACTACTTCTGCCCTCGTAGTAAAAGTGCTTTCCAAAAATGTACCAATGCACAGGCAATCCGTCTTGGCTCATTTTGATCGAGGAAAAAAAGTTAACCGGTTTCAGTCCTGATAGGGCGGTCCATAGGATCTCGAGGCCGCCTAGTCGGCGAAGAGTCGCGCTGGTGGGTGTAGCGCATACCTCCTCGGCTTTCGGAGGCCTTTACATCTCGCAAGACTTGTGGCCAAAGTCCCCTCTAAGTACCGTCAAAATATAGCACTTTTCTGCACCGTGTTGGCCAGATTTTGCGGTTGCTGTTATTGCGCGAAGGCTGTATCACATGCTCCCAATCCCTGCTAGCAATCTCTGCCTAAATGCGCAAATATGCGTGTTTTGTTAGGCAACCTTCCAGAGTCATGGCTGGCTGATGACATTTAGCATCGACGGTCAAGTTTTACAAAACCAAGTTTACTACTCTGACGTAAATTTTCGGTCGGTAATCAGGTAGAGATATTTTAGGATTGAAATGTGGCCTACCATTCTACACACAGAACACCGTAAACATTTCAAACGAAGCACAATTGTTATTTAGTTGGAGAGCCAGTTGCATTTCACCGGCGTTCAGGTCAGACGCAGTGGAATGTTAACCGAAATTCTGAAATGCGTTTTAAATTAGAAAGGATTACTTAAGTGGCGCTGTGGCATTGATAAGTTTGTGGTATAAGGCCGTGGCATTTCGGACACTTCAGGATATTGACTTTTGAGTGCACTTCTTTTCGCGTACCCGCAGAAACCGCATTCGGCGAAAGGGACTATTTAAGTAGTGCGTATTTCCCCTATCGATTCTCGATGCCCTTATAAGTCCAAAATGTGTCACATAAAACACACACACACACACACAATACTCTTTTTGTACTCATTTGGTATCAAATCATGTCCTCTTTACGTCTTTTACTCGAAGCTATAGTATCATTCGGCCTTAAAGAAGTTTTCTAATCATGAGGTTTCTAAGAACGTGCAATGTACATTCGAATAGCTCCTCATTGAGTATACAACACAGTCCACGTTCGCTGTAACACATGATATTTTCTTAATGGCATAAAGGAACGCACGTTTTTCTTTGCACAAAAAGTATACAGCCTAAAGGCTGAGAATCCTAAACGAAAATACAGCGTCAGATCGAGTTCAAAATTTTTCGGAAGTGAAGAACTCCGTTTAAGACCAAAAGATGCCCTTTCTTCGAGTACAAAATTTGAAGAAACCATGATTTTCTACCAAATGAGTTCAATAAATAATATCTTTGTGAAGGTTTTCTATAAAATATATTTGAACTCCCAAGGACGTCGAAAATCGACATAGAAAATATGTACTACTTAAGCAGCCATTATTTATTGAGTGAGGTTTTCGGAAGGCGGCCGAAAAGAAGTACAGTCGAAAGCCAACACCCTGGCATGTCTGAAATATTACGAGATTACGTCACACGATAATAAATCTTATAGCCCCACTTAGGCAATCCTTCCTAATCGAAAACGAATTTCAGAATTTCGATTAACACTTTATGAGATCGGTGACTGACTATTTATTTGGTGGGAATGTTGACTTACTTCGGTAACTTGAAGTAATTATTCAGTTGCATAGAAATCCTCTGTGCGCCTACGGCGTGGCGGATGAAACGAACTTCAAGAATCCGTTCAAGTCCCCTACATCTGTGTTTTTGAGCTAAGTGTCTTAACCCTTTCAGTTATACAACGGAACCGGCAAGGGTTTCACCTGGAACGAAGCCCGTCAGGAGTGCAAAAGTCTTGCTCCGGGTGCCGATCTTGCGCGGATCACCGACCCAGCGACCCAAGGTAAGACATATACGAAACACACACTGCCTGACTTTATTTGGGTAAAAGTCCGATTGGATAACATTGCCGACAAATAGAAGCTAAGAGACGAGTCCCAGGAAACAGTCTTGACGAAGGAGACACGATCGCTGGGATAAGAGCTTTATTAGCCTGACGTTTCGGATCCCTGCTCGAACCCATAATCAGAGGCAAAAACAGATACGGGTGATTCATGCACAAGGGGCTGCAGTATTTACAGGATGCAGTAGCCATGCTACCGCATACGCTACGGCTCCCCCCTCATCCGGGATCGTCGCACTTGGTGTGCTAATTGTTTGATGGTCGACATTCACGTCGTTAATGGCTGCGATTTCATCAAATGCGTTGGGTGTTGGTGTGACGATTGCTCGACCATCTGACGCACGGACCCTGGTGTTGGGAAAAGTGTTCACCTGTGCGTTCCCCGCGTGGCTAATTACTCCGCCTAGGCGAAGTCTCGACACCAAGTATGGAATGGGAAGATCATTACACTTGTTAATGGACTGGGGGGCCAGTAAACCATGACTTAAGTAGCTCCCTGCTCACGTGGTTGTCACCTCTTGCGAGAATTTTGGCCTCATCCAATTTGAATTTGTGGCCGGATCTCGTCGAATGAGTCGTAACTCGAGAACTGGCATCACTTCTCCGCACCGCTGCAGCGTGTTCGGCCATTCGCGTTCGGAGCTGTCTTCCGGTCTCTCCGACGTAGTTGCTTTGTCCGCATTTGCAGCTGATCCGATAAACGACCCCAGACGTTTCTTGTCCTGTCAGTGGGTCTTTCGGTTTCATTAACTGACGCCTGATGGTTTTTTCTAATCTGTGTGCAATTCCAACCCCAAGTGGTGCAAGAAGGCTACCGACAGCTTTCGAAACGTTCTTGACGTACGGAAGCCCTCGCCAAAGTTTGGTGTCCTTGTGGTTAGGCCTTTCGTCCCTTTTGAGTATGCAGCGGTTGACGAAGTTTCGCGGGTAGCCATTGACTTTGAAGACCCGTCGGAGGTATTGTAGTTCGGCAATCTTCAAGATTGCCGACAAAGACAAGGAAGACTGGGATGGTCATTTCTGGCTTGCTAGCCAGGCTGTGCAACACCTGGGACGCGATCTCGCAACCTGTTGGCTGGAAGTCCAACGCCTCTAACCAATGAGCCACGAGCTGCTTGTCGTGTCAGTTGCGATCGGGTATATTAACAATGGTAGAGGGACACTCATTGATCGAGTTACGGGACTCACTCGTCCCATTTCAGTCTGCCTTATCTTTGCTATTCTGCCTGTATTACGCGTCCCTTTGCGGCTGCTGGTTGGGCTCGAGAGAGAAAGCCCCAAGGCACAACGGGACGAGTGAGTTCCGTAACCCGATCGCTGCCGGGGAGTTCAGTAAAGTGATCTGCGTAGGCCTGTAATCGGATTGATAGCACAGGCGACTACGCGGGTATATAATTGTGGTACTGCTTTGGCACGCCAGCTGAGGCTTGCAGGGAAACAGCCCATCGATAACCTGGCTTTGGCTGATTGGCTCAAACTAACAGCCTTCTGGTCGCGTACTACATATGGCACTTTCTGGCACGCAACCAGGTTGTTGGGATAAGATTTAGTACTGGCCGACATAATTGCCCTACCTTAGCAATTGGGAAACTAACAAACCAACCCCAGTTTTCGTTAGATAGCGGAGAAAACGGAGAAGCCTACTTTCGCACACAGCAAGGACAGTTAGAAGGGCATAAAACAATATCCCAGAAGTGAAAAGAGAAACTGTTACTGCATTTGCTGCTAATCGTTGTGACTTCCTTCGAGGTCTCTAGATTGAGACCCAGAGCACGATTTTAAAATTGGTGATACCAAACCGTCACTAGATGAAATGCGTACGGAAGAGGTGAGACTATCATGCTAGATCGTTGAGGGTCATGGGGTTACGCAAACAGAGCGCTAGTGCGTTAGGGGGCTAGGTACATAATTAAGATGGGTTTCGGGGAGGGGGAGAGTGCTTAGGGGGAGGATAAGTAATGCGAAATTGAGACTACAGACGGAAGAGTATGGATTAGCGGTCATGGCGTTGTAGTGGGCGCGAGAATGCCAGTGAAGTGTGTACGCAAGTTCTCGTGTTGGAGTTTCAAGCCTTGGGAAATTTCCCCGTCCATCTTATTTTAGGCCTAGCGATAACCTAGGTCCACTTTCAATTGAGTCGGGGATCATTCTTCAAGTGCGGGCACAAGGACGAGAGACGGGAGGCCATGCTGGGGTACAACTGTTTTGTTTAAAAGAAGGCGAAGGCACGATCACTGGGACAGCAGGTTTATTTGCCTGAGCTTTCGAACTCGAACTAGAGTTCATCATCAGAGGCTACTCGAGTGCAGCAAATTGTGAACATTTATATCGTTCATCCTTGCGGGGGGGAGGGGGAGTACGTCCGTGGCTAGGTAGGGTTTGTGCCGCCTGGTCCACGATGTTCCCCCGGCGTGGTGACGCCGTGTGTACTTCGCGACGGTGTGAGCTGCGCCACCTGGCTGCGTGGGCGGAGCGCGTGATAACACGCAGGCAAATCGATGTGCCTGTTGGTGTCCGACACCCACGCCTCCAACAGTTCTCGCCCTGTCTTGTTGCCGGCTCGCGCCAATATCCGCGTGTTGGCGAAGTCGAACTCATGCCCTTCCTCCAGCGTGTGAGTGGCTACTTGAAACAGTAGGTCGCCTCAACACGCGGATATTGGCGCGAGCCGGCAACAAGACAGGGCGAGAGCTGTTGGAGGCGTGGGTGTCGGACACCAACTCCATCAACAGACACATCGATTTGCCTGCGTGTTATCACGCGCTCCGCCCACGCAGCCAGGTGGCGCAGCTCACACCGTCGCGAAGTCCAGACGGTGTCACCACGCAGGGGGAACATCGTGGACCAGGCGCACAAACCCTACCTAGCCACGGACGTACTCCCCCTCCCCCCCGCAAGGATGAACGATATAAATGTTCACAATTTGCTGCACTCGAGTAGCCTCTGATGATGAACTCTAGTTCGAGTTCGAAAGCTTCGAAATGTTCACAATTTGCTGCACTCGAGTAGCCTCTGATGATGAACTCTAGTTCGAGTTCGAAAGCTCAGGCAAATAAACCTAATGTCCCAGTGATCGTGCCTTCGCCTTTTTTTAAACAAGAACCTGGGATGCGCATATTCTCTTCCATTCGCAACTGTTTTGTGTTAATATGAGTGCCCAGGCGTCGATTGATATGGCCAGCGTACACGCCGGGGCAATCAGTACATGAGATGCGATAAATTACGTTTGTCCATTGCTCTTTGAAGATGGGATACTTTGCCGGAGATACTGCTGCACGCAATGAAGATGCTGGCCTATGGGCGACGTAGCTGTCGGCCAATCACCTCTGAGGTTCCGTTTGAGAAGGTGGAATTTCTGCAGCGTCTTGTTACTGTATCTGACGTCAGTTTGAATCGACAGTTCAACCATCCTGCCCGACGATGTCCACCGAATGCTCCACAGCAAGGTGGGAGCAGGTACGGTGTCCTGTGCTTGAGTTAGTTTATAGTGGCAGTAGACTTGCACAGCATCTATCGCGCTTTCTCCTCCTACCAGTTACGACAATTTTCAGGCAACCATCTATTTTATCCTTAGCGGTTGGTGAGACCCCTAATAATACAACTAGTGGTAATTCTGTGGGGAATCTTCCAACCCATACGCCCGTTTGTTTTGAACGTTATTGCACTTATATGTATATGATATCCGACACCGTCCCCCCAAAAGGCCAGACACACGTAGAGTTAGTAACCGATCATGCGTGGGGCGCGCAAACGGGTCGTTAAGCTTTGTTATCCACTGCGCCCATTGAAGCCACGCAGGTGAAGCGGGAGAGAGTGCGATAGACGCTTTGAAAGTCTGCCTCGCCGATGCTACGCCCACGCGGCGGATGTCGTTACCCACGACGGTCGCACTGTCGTGTCTTCTGAGGGGTAGGGTTCTCACAATGGGCTATGCCACAAATGCTCTGGAACAAAAACAAAGATTATATTGACTCACGGGGCGCGTCAATCAGGCTGCGCGCACTTCACAAACCCAAAACCACAAGAGAAGGTGTGGTGGCACGATCAAACGTACAGTAGATGTGCTAACTCATGAAACGTTGACCTCAAATGCGGTTTCGATTCGAGAAGGTTACTTGAGTAGGCTCTTAGTTTTGGCCGCCTTGCAACATAACCCCAAGATAATTCAATTACTTCACGACACAAGTTTTTGGACGAACAGTGCCGACACTATGGCTCTGTTTCATTAACAGCTAATATGTGACTTTTACTGACGCCGACGTTTTTTTTAACCGTGAATTACTCCATCGGTTTTCGGCAAGTCCAACCAGAACAGCGGTTGCTAGGGTCCTCTTGCTGGAGGGATAGTTTCCTCTGGGTGGACTTCTCTCTTTCTCTCGTCCCACCCCATTGCGACACCGAGTCGAGGTTTCGGGACTGTGCCGAACGGTGGTGCGTGAGATCGCGCTGGATATCGATCAACATTCGGCATTCTGAAATAACACTATGGCTTGCGACCCTTTTATGACCTTTTTATCTGTTTTGCTGCACTCAACAGAATCGCTGGTCTTCCAACACTACAGACCGAAGTTCTGGCCGGGTATGTAGATGATATCTTCGTCGTTATCGACCAGGATCAACTGCTGACATTCAAGGAACATCTGAATGCGGTCTTTCCGGACATACAATTTACGACGGAGGAGGAAGAGAACAACCAGCTGGCCTTCCTGGATGTCCTCGCATGCCGCAAAAATTGTGGTGAACTAAAAACCAAAGTGTTCAGCAAAGCGACAAATACGATGTAAGTACTGAACTTCAACAGCAACCGCCCAATCAGCCGCAAACGCAGTTGTGTAAGGACGCTCCATCGGCGTGTCGAAACACACTGCAGTGAGCCGGAATACAAGATTGCCGAACTACAATACCTCCGACGGGTCTTCAAAGCCGATGGCTACCCGCGAAACTTCGTCAACCGGTGCATACGCAAAAGTAACGAAAGTCCTACCCGCACGGACACCAAATTTTGGCGTGCACTTCCGTATGTCAAGAACGTTTCGGAAGCTGTCGGCCGCCTTCTCGCACTACTTGGGGTTGGAGTTGCTCACAGACCGGAGGCAACCATCAGGCGTCAGGTAATGAAACCGAAAGACCCGCTGCTACGGAAAGAAACGTCTGGAGTCGTTTATCGGATTTGGTTCAGTTGCGGACAAAGCAACTACGTCGGATAAACCGGAAGAGAGCTCCGAACGCGAATTGCCGAACACGCTGCGGCGGTGCGGAGAAATGACGCCAGCTCTCAAGTTGCAGCTCATTCGATGGGATCTGGCCACACGTTGAAATTCAACGAGGCCGAAATTCTCGCAAGAGGTGACAACCGCGTGAGCCGGGAGCTGCTTGAGTCATGACTTACTGGCCCCCAGTCCATTAACAAGTCAATGATCTTCCCCTTCCATACTCGGTGCCGAGACTTCGCCTAGGCGGAGTAATTAGCCACGCGGGGAGCGCACAAGTGAACACTTTTCCCAACACCAGGGTCGGTGCGTCAGATGGTCGAGCAATCATCACACCAACATCCAACACGCGGGATGAGAGTGCAGCAATTAACGACGTGAATGTCGACCATCAAACAGTCATCCCACCACGTGCAACGATTACTGATGAAGGGGGGGGGGGGGGAGCCGTGAATATTCATAGGTATGCAGTGGCCTGGCGACTGCATCCTATAAATACTGCAGCCCCTTGTGCATGAACCACCCGTATGTGCTTTTGTCTCTGATGATGGGTCCGAGCAGGAATCCAAAACGTCAGGCTAATAAAGCTCTTATCCCATAGATCGTATCGCCTTCTTCACGACTGCACTCAATGTTGAGCGGATACAAGCAGAAGGCGAGTTCCAGGCAGCCGTTGAGGCGGAGGAGATGCGACCTCTGGAACAGGAAGCTCATTCGCCTGGCGTTTCGGATTCTCCTCCGAACCCATTCTCAGAGACGGGCAGAGAGATAAGTTGTGAGCGAAGCTCAGGAAATGCAGTGATTATTGGGTGCGGTTACTGTCCAACCACAAATCTACCGTGATTACCAACTGTTGCATTCATTAGCGATGATCGCGCTTGGTGCGCAACTTACCGAGTCGTTCATTTCCGCGATTTCATCATCCGTATTGATTATCGGCGTGATAATCACTCACCCATTTGACTGGCCGACGCCGGCACTGAACGATGTTCGTCCATGCGCTCCCCGCGTGGCTAATTATTCGCCTGGACAAATTCTCAGTGCCAAATATGGAGAAGGGGGAGGGGAGGGGAGAGACGTCATTAAGCTTGCTTGTAGACTGCTGGCCAAGCGAGCAGTCATCGCACCAAATGGACAAGCATTGGCGACGATAAGTACGAGGTGGCATGGCAACTGCATTCCACACATACTGCGCCCATTGTGTGTCCCCGGTGATGAGTCGGAATAAGAATCCGAAACGTCCGGCGAAAGCAGACAAGTCGGAGGCGACTAAGACTTTCGCTCTAAGAAGCTCTGAAGGAGCTACTTCTTGGTGCAGGGTTTCGGCTGCAAAAATCCGATATCAAGCATCGACAGAATGCGTTCAGTCCTTTAAACTGCATATTACTCTCCATAGATCCTTCATAAGATTTCAGCTATCAGCGGGCTTTCGGCAGAGGTCACGTGACTGACAGGCGCCGCAGCCTCGAAATCCCAGTCGGATGGGAAAAGTGTAATGGAAAGACATTCATCGCCTACAGGCAGCGGCAGTCGGGGACAGGCGTCTGTGTTGTACACTGCGGACGACATTTTCCCGCAGCTTTGATTTGTTGATATCGCGCCATCAGCGAACCTCATTCGCGTCGTGTGATGAATCACCACTCGCAGCGTTGAACTGGTCGGCCGGGGGGTGAGGGCATAACACGTGCCTGCGCGCTATCCAGACAAGATATGTTATAAACACCCTGGTCGGTCTATTCGACTGGAGCTGGGCGGTACGAATGTACCCTGGACGGCGTCCCAGACTATTTGCGCGAGCAGAGGGACTGGGCTTTTTCCACACTGCGCTGACCAGTTCGCTTAAACGACAGTAACGTGGGACATGAGCGCTTAGTGCCCGGTTGGAGTGTACACAAAACTTGACACATCGCGAAGATCGAATGCGACCCAATCGTTGTCGATTCGCCAATTGGTGCATGACAGTTACCTGATTGGTGTTTCCTCTACTCTGTGTTCGTTATACCCTTCAAGCTGCCTCTGGATTTTTCTAATTAATTCGAGAGAAGTGCTGATCTCGGGATCATCTGAGGAACACAGCTTCCCACTGAAACGCACCTGGAAAAGTCTTATTTATGGACTAACTCAGTGAAATCCGGGAGGGTGTATTCTATATCGACTGGTAGGGTTTAGTGTGTGGCTCGCGTAGACAGGTTCTTTGGCCTCTTCGGTCACCGTACCCTCGCCCAGCTGACAGAACAACTATCAGGGCTTAGAGTCGGTCTGCAATGACTACTTCTCAAAGTGGCATTCATGACACCGTCACTGATGTGAATTCCAAGTTGTCCTCACGCAGATCCGACAAAAGTAGCGAGGGCGAGATCGTGTGTGGCACGCGTAGACGGTCAGTTTTGTCGTTTTGTCAGCGATTACGCCCGCGTACACCGGTTAACTCGACATTGCCCTGCAATCAGGGTAGTATGGAGGAGGGAAGAAAGAGTGTGGTGGATTCTGTGCAAGTCGGCTTCATTAATAGCCTATTTCACGCACAACTCACCCATGCTGCGCCCACAACGCGGAACACGCGGGGGAAGTGGTCGCTTGTGACGGTTGAGATGGTTGCGGACGAGCCAGACGCAAACATTCTGGTGGGTATTGTGCTGATGGGCAGGCCCTCACCCTCGAAAACCATTGCCGAGGCCCCGGTTCAGAGCGAAGTCGGTGTGTGACACACCCCTGCATGAAGACGGTAACCGCTTACATTCTGTTCCCTCCACCGACTGGTTATTTCCTGACCTGCCAAGGCAGTCAGTGTGTTTGAAACTCCAGGTCTCCCCTTAAAGGAGGCCAAGCTAGAGTGACTGACATCTTTTTCGAGCAACCAAATAGATATCTCGATCATCGAATGTAGCTATCGTCGGCATTATCCTGAAGAGCCGTGAGTATATACTCGCGATCCCGATTAAAGTCGGGGAGACTTGCATAGCACTGGGATCATTCCGTCTTTCCATCCTCGTCGTGTGCCAGTGGTAGGACAGAGTCAAGACAGTCGAGTGTAGACTTGGACACAGTGGCTGGTAGGATGTTTCGGCCGCCAAAACTCGCCAAGAGGACTTTACTCCGACACTCGCCTGACACTTCAGCGCATCCACGTTTGTGAACTCTGTTGCGTTGGTCCGTCCGACCCGACGATGAGGCGAGAAGGTAACGCAGACTTGTACCAACATCTGCCCAGGTCTTATATTCCAACGGCGAGACTGCGTCCAAAGAACCAAAAGATGGGCTTGGGGAACGCATTGACTGACCCCAATGCACGTGTACCACTACACCACTGATCCTTTTCCCATAGGCCAAACACAAAAGTTCTCCAGCGTCTGAGGACAATATGAGCTGCTCTCATGGGGTTTTGACAGCCACTCGAAGCGCTTCACAGGGGTATCCTAAACGCACTAAACATGTTTTTTTTTCGCCGTCTGGCGCCACTTGCTCCTGTGTAGCAGGGTATATTGGTCGTACGAGTCGGCGCCTTTCCAAAAGAATACGAGAGCACCTTCCCGCATGGCTGGCAAAGGGTGAAACTAGGAGAATAGACAGCGCCATCCTTGCGCATGCAGTGGACTCAGGGCATCCTGTGGACTCCACTGAAGCATTTCGTGTGATTTACAAGGTCCCCTCGAGCTACCCTAAGCTACTGGGCCAACGCCTGTTAGCAACAGCAGAAGCGGCCGCCATCGGCTTACGAAAACCGACCCTATGCGCCCGAAAAACCTTGTTCAGGCTCCGCGCTTACCGTGGTGCAAGGTTGACTGACCACATACCACTTTCTGCACCCTTCCGCTCTTGCCCAGCCTGGAGTTTAATAACTAACTTGTATCGATTTTTTGTTTCACTCACTGTACCCCGTCCTATGTAACTGTATTGGCCTGATGAAAAGTTACCGAAAAGAAAGTTCGCTCGCCACTGTCTCTTCTGAACATAGTTATGGGGATTTTCACAACTTTAAAACAAGTGAAATTCTCCGCTTGTAGGTCATGACATTGCACGCAGGACGTGTAGAGGCGTTCTCAATGTTTTGTAGTTGCTTTTTCTAAACGCTTTTAGCGTCTCTACCGTTCCTGCATTCTCTCTGCGCCTTCCCACAGATTACTTCACCGCGCTTCTGCCCTTCGTCTCGCAGTCGGCCTGGATCGGTCTGCGTACTCGGAGGAATGCATCCGACGGGGCTGCAACCGGCGTCTTCGAGTGGGTCTCCATCGCCGATCAAACAAACGAATCAGCACAGCAAGCGCCGGCCATCGGATTCGCCAACTGGGCGGCCAATCGGTACTTGAAGGCCAGCGGTCACTCGGCGGACGTTCAGGTTGGTCCTCCTTCTTTTCACCCCCCCCCCAGTGAAGGAGTCCACGTTCAAGGAATATTCAAGGTCGCGTGGGTTGCATTTTACTGATATGTTCTGAATGCAGAAGGAAGTAGGGGCTACCACCCCCTTTTTAATTGGAATCGCGTGGAGACGAACAAGCAGGGCTTTGGGCACGGAAATGCCCATTCTTGACTTGTTTGTCGTCAACGACTAGTAAGTTGTTTGACTCGGTGACCGACCAATCCGAGTTCAAACCCCGGGCCTTCCTGGCACGGAATATGGTTGGCTGATGATGGCAGGTAGAATAGAAACGTTCATTCCACTTTCAGTTGTCTTTGCTGGTAGCGTCTATCAATTATTGATTACTCTTCGTTATGCCGCCTCCTGCCCAACGGGCTGTCGTTGAAGGTCTAATCCATGAGGAATCTGCATCCGAGCGGGGGGTATTTAAGTAGTTCGGGATGAATGTAAAGTAGAAGTGGAGGAGGGAAGGAGGTGGGGACGTCCGGCGACTTTTCCGGTATTTATAAGAATCAATCACTCAATCAACCTATTGTAACGAGCCCAGATGTCAGTACGAGAGGCGGCTCAAGCAAAGTAAGGCTTTGGCAACTTCTATGTACTCAACCGTCCTATGTACAATAAGAGTCTAGAGCGGGTGAGAGATTAGCGGAGGCACGGGGATCCGGCGAAGACAGCGACAGAGGTCCCACGTCCGAAGGTTGGCGGCCTGCCACGGGGTTGTCGAAGGTTCATCCTCGTCCGTATTTATAGCTTCTTCAGGCGCCAAGGCCGTCAAGGTTGAGTCCGCCATTGTTGATTGGTTGAGAGTAGGTCACGGGGAGAAAGTTAAACAAACTTAAGTTAGGGCTATTTTGATTAATTTAGGATTATATTAATTTATTATATGTATACTTTTCATGAAAGGCCAAATTGCGACTAAGTGCCCGACGTATAAATATGGAAAAGTTCGGCGCGCGCGCCCCTTTAGGAGCGCGCTTTCTAGAACCTTCTATAAAATGGCGGCACGTGGTTCGGCTTTCTAGAACTTCCTACGTTATCAGCATGACGGGCACATGCCCCCGCCACCGCCTAGGGCTGGCGATTGCGAAAGCTGAAAAAACGAACGGAAATTCGGAAAATTCGTGACCATCTGGGGTAGTCAATATCCGCTACGCCGCCGCCGCTTCCTACTCCAGTGCCAAGCTGTCGCTAAACCGGACTGAGCTCTGACGAAAAACTGTGATTTGCGCGGACATTTTACTTCTAAATGTGCGACAATAAGGGGAAGAATGGACCGCCCCAATCCTAAGACTGCCTCGTACTCAACTGTGTTTGAGGTCCTTGCGTAAGAACCTACATTCTGGAGTATTTTATGCCATAGAGAGCTAGCAGGCGTTTTGGCGTTTGACAGGCTCTTCCAAAGGATCTGTCCTTCTTGAACTTTTAAATGCTGAGAAGAAGAAGAAGATACGATCGGCGGATCAAGTGCTTTATTAGCCTGACGTTTCGGATTTTCAGTCGAATCCCTCATCAGAAACAGAGTCAGATAAGGGTAGTGGAGTACCCAGGTGTTGCAATATCTATAAGATGTAATTGCTAGGCTGCTACATGCTTGTCACAGTTGGCAGCTCCTGAGTTCATCACAGCTCGACTGGCCAGGTATTGAAGTATGCCGTTGCTATGCGCCTGCGATCGTGTCTCTGTCTCCGCGACTATTTTCTGGAACTCGTCTCTTCGCTTCTATTTTCTCCTTTTTAATGTTAAATGTGACATTTAAAATGGTCTGAGTTGCCAGTAAGTGCTTCAATTTACTGCTTGAAAACACCGGTGTATTCCGAAGTTTGTTTGGGATCTAATGTGTGCAGTTTTCCCGGATTCTTATCACCCGAGCAGAATGCAGTCTAAAGAACGGTTGTTTCTGAGAAACGCGAAGCGTCTTGAGTTGCGAGAGAGCGAGAGAGTACGCTTTCATTTGAAAGTAGACAAGATTTTCAATGAAAAAAATCTACAAGTATCATGCTGCAGTACAAGTGAACAGAATAAATTTTAACTTTTTTGGAATGAGCAGTTACGTTCGACCCCGGTTTCCTTCAAGGATGTGTGTTGCGGGAACTGCAGTTTTAGTTTACCAAAAAGGGACCTTCGAAACAAATCTTGCATTTCATTATAAAGGCTCAAGGATGCTCTCAGGTAATCACACAAGCAAGCAGCATATTGCTAACTGCTTTAATGAATTTCGGAAGTATGCTTCGGGCTAGCTGGAAGCTGTTGATATGCTGAACCCGATTTTCGACGCAGCCTGGGAAAAGTGTGGATGCTTCATCTCCTGACGAATGGTTGTTTCTGAAAAACATGAAGGGTCTTGAATTGTGAGAGAGTGGGAGAGTACGCCTTCATTTCAGAGTAGACAAGACTTTAAATTAAAAAGTATAAGTGTCGTGCTGCAAAACAAGCGAACGATACAAATTTTAATTTTTCGAACCCGGTTTCTTCCGAGGGCGTGTAGCCGTTGTTGGGGGAACTGGAGTTTTAGTCTACCAACCAAGGATCTTCGGGTTAGATGGTAGTTGGTAGCCCTCCCGGTACCGATAACTCCCAGCTACCTGTCTTACGGTACCAGTGGTAATAGGGGCTATACGGGTGGGGCAAATGAGTGGAGGCGCAAATGGCGCTTGTAGTGTATGCCTGGAATTGACACTCCTGGTAAAGTAGAAGCCTAATTTGAATATGATGAAAAAAGCAAGGAGGGTATAGAAATGAGCATGGATAATTAGTACGGTATGTGGAATAAATGCGTTCTTTCCCCAGATTGGAAAGAATAGCAAGTGAAGGCGAACAACTAATAGGAAGAAGGCAGTGTGTCTTAAGGTCATTCCGCAGTATGTGAGATATTACTCTAGCCGACAGAATGGACATGAGAGCACGAGAGTCAAGTAGCGGCACGCAGGACGGCATAACGCAAGCGGGGTAAGACTTTAATGCGAAAAATTTGTTTGGGCGGAAGAGAAAATCCGAAAAAAGAGTTTATTGTCACTGTGGCCACATTTAGGATTAAAAATATGGCAGTAGTTGTGTGCTTTACATGAACGGTGTAGTTCTCGGGGCGGTTAAAGTGAAAGTGAAAGTCACCCCTGCGACCAAATACAACCGGTCTGTTCGTAAAGCCGGGGGGTGGAGGACAACACTCTGCCAATACGACTGATGCAGTCGGTGGAGTATTGGTAGACACCCTATCTGCGCGCCGGTTGTCCTTTCGTACACGACCACACCGGACTCAACTGGAGGTCTGGAGTAAGAAGACCCAAGGGCCTAGCCAGACCGACGAAACGCAGACCCGCGCCAATCCACCTAGGATAGTGACTATGCAATTACTCTGATGCAGGTAATACTGTGCGCGAATGCAATTATAATCATAATGAGAAGCATGATGAATCATAATCCGCCTAAGATAAATCTTTAACCTTTTACTAAAGATTTCCGTGTGGGGTGGGGGTGCAATACAATGAGCCTATATAGATATTTTTGCAGCGCCTCGTTCTCGGGGCGGTTAAAGTGAAGAAGAAAGTCATCCTGACAGGGCCTCTGTGCGTGCACCCTCCAGACATAATGAGAACGTTATCACAACTACCGGAATCGAGCCAGTAGGTACAATTGTAGAATCAGTGGGTAGGGCTACTAACTACCATCCTACCGACCTTCGAAACGAATCTTGCACTCCATTTTAAAGGTCAAGGACGCTCTCGAGCTAACAGCATATGGATAATGACTATACTGAATTTAGGAAGCGTGCTTCAGGCTAGCTAGGAGCAGTTGACGGACTGAATCCACTGTCGCCAGGTTTCCGAAGAAAGCCGCCCATCGGCTATCTGCACAAAATACACTCTGTATAAATGACCACTTGAGTAGTATGAAATTTTCCATTGCTCTCGATGTAATTAATAAAGCCAATTATATTTCATAGAGAACTTGTACAAAATATTTTTTACTGTACTTATTTGATGGAGAATTACGTCTTCTTCAAATTTTACATTCGAAGAGAGGGTATCTTTCGGTTTTTAAAAGGCTTCTGATTGTGAGTTTTTTAAGCCCGTGAAATTCCCATCCATCCTGCATCGCATTAGCACGTTTCTCTATACTACTCGTAAAGTATACAACCTGGTTAATGTTCATTGCACAAGTTCATGAATGCTGTAGGACGTCTTCCTAAAGGTGTAGATTAGTGAGTGATATTCCTTCGACGGAATGCATGCAATATGTAGTTTGGAAACCCTGAATGCAAATGTAAGGACAGGTGGAACAAGAATATTCGAGAATTAGAAAGATCCTTAAAAACCGAAAGATTCTCTTTCTTCCAGCAGAAGATTTTAAGAAGACGTAATTTGATACCAAATAAATACAACAAAGAATACTTTTGGGCACGTTTTCCTTAAAATATAATTAGATTTATAGCGATGCTGAAAACCTACTGGAAAAAATCATAACACTTAAGTAGTCTTTCTTTGGAAAGTTCAATTTTCGCAGGCAGCCGAAAAGAAGCCCATTCAAAAGTCTGCATATTGACGTGACTGAAATATCTTGTGATTATACTGTAAGATAATTCATATCTTTCCGAACGGAAAACAAGTTTCAGAATTTCGACTAACATTTCACTAGATGGCACACCCACTGTAAGTACAGGCATTTCTCTGAGTTCAGATTTCTGTGTCCAGTCAGTGAAGGCGTAAGTGGATCTCATTTATCGCGAGGTATTATTGGCTAAAAGGGGGTCGGGTTATCTCATCTTATTGGAGACCTTAGTGCAGTCAGTTTCTTTCCAGGATGTTGTTTGGACCAAGGAAACAAACATGGCTGTCAGTGCTCTTAGGCCAGTAAACATTTAGGGCTTTGCATGTTTCGAAATAGCCGCGCATTAGGATCCTTCTGATTGGCCGGCAGGCCTCATGCGGACCGTATCTGATTTGGGCGTGAGCTCTGCTCGTTAGACGATGACGACTCAAACTAACAAAAGCAGCAGCTGCCATGGTTGTAAACGTCCAGAATACCAATCAATTTAAATAGTTCCTGCTAACGCTATGAAGGTGCGATTGAAAGTTCGGCCGTCGTTGCCGACGATGCCTACCGTGTGCCCACAGCAAGATGAAGTCGACATGGTGACATGCGCGTGATTTAGTTTATAGTGAACGTAGACTTGCGCAGCATCTACCGCACTCTGTGTTTCCCACACCCCACCTGGACTCATTCCCAAGACATAGTAAAGAAGACCGGAGGTAAGGGAGGGCGCAGATGGTTATCACGCCCCTAGACGTCCCGTCACACCCGGCTCGGATCCCATGGAGTGGGAATGCCATAACGGCCACATTGGGAAGAAGCCTTCGCAGCCTAACTATTAGACCACCAATCGGCCGCTCCACATGAAAGCTCAGCACTGGGCCGGCTGCGAGGTCCAGTTTATCCCGTTAGTTGGTACTTATTATTTGGGGTATTTTACTGCTCCGTATACTCGCGTACGTTCTGTTATGACCTTGTGCAGATGACCTCTTACGAGACGTTTTTTTTCGCAAGCTTATAGGAGTCCCTAATTCGAGGGAATTGGAATGTCCAAAGCAGACTACGTCTGCATAGGCTAGGGCAAATAAAGTAGGTTAGTCTCTACGTCTTTGGGTGTGATAGATTCCTTAAACCATCCATCGTCTTCGTCATCTGATCGAGCTTAGTCAATCTCTTACTTCATTCACAACGTTCAGGCTGGCATATCATACTTTAACCGAGGCTGTATGGGGGGCATCAAAGATTTGCCCGGAAAATCCCTGGAGGAAATATTTCAAACGCACGTCTGATCTCCTGAACAGTTGGTTGGACGACGTCAAGTTCAGAGTCATCCTTAACAGAGGGTTATTAGGAGAAAATAGGGACTCCTTTCCCCACCGTCTTGAATCACGAACACAGAAAAAGACGCTGAGACTGTGGACATGACCTAAGTCAACCGTGAACTGAAAGACAGGGGAGCAAACACTTGTAGTCCTCTCCATTTTTTACTCCTACTTCTTCTCTCTCACTCCGCTCCTTAAAATCGTCCTCTTCATCATCATCATCATCATCATCATCATCATCATCATCATCATCATCATCATCATCATCATCATCATCATCATCATCATCATCATCATCATCATCATCATCATCATCATCATCATCATCATCATCATCATCACCACCACCACCACCATCATCATCATCATCATCCTCTCCTTTATTTGTATTCTTTTTTGATGCTGTTTCCCGTCATTCCTCTTATTTTATTCCACCCGCCACCTCCTCTTCCTCCTTCTCCCCCTTACTCCCTCCCCCCTCTTCCTCTCCACCCCCACCCCATCCTCGGCTCCCCCTACCATATTCCATCCCTCTTCCTCCCTCCACCTTTCTCACCCCCCCCTCTTCTCTCATCATCATCGGCTGTCCCCCTGCTTACTCTCTACCTCATCCATTTCGGTACACCTGCGCGTCTATTCAAGAATTGTGCTTCAACCACCCTCTCCTGGGGTCCAGGTGCCTATTATAATGATTAATTACTTTGAACGGGGTCATTGGTGAACCAAGTCTACATGTGCACTCCAGGTCTCCTTCCTCTTTGTACTGTCACTCGAGGGTGATTCATTGCAGCAGCCATGTTCGCTCCTCTGACCCATTCGTTGTGCCGACGCGAATGACATGCGGAGATGTGTAAATTCTGCCGGGGGACTTCAACGTCCAGGTTTCCTTAAGGGCATGAAGCCCTTTGAACACACCCCTCCCCCGTCCCAGCTGGCCGGGGTGATGCAAATTTTGGTCTCTTTACGATTCACACAGAATAGGCTACGTAGCCAGGCGTGGTCGTACATTCTACTTATTTACATATATGCCACAAACGATAGAAAAGGAAGCAACAGTTTGTTCACGTCTTTCTGTTATTATCGTATCTTAATGCATCTGATTAAGGAAGAGGGGGGGGGGGAATTTGGATTTCAAAAACTCACGGAGTCATGGCTTGCACGAGGTCTGCCTTAACAGCACATACGACTATAATCCCCCTAAAAAGAGCTGTTTCTCTTGGACGATGAGACAACACACTTCAAGTTGCGTAGCAGATTGCAGCCGAAACGACGATGACGACAACGACTACTACCACCATTATTATTATTTTCATTATTATTATTATTACTGTTATCGTCACCACCACAACCTCATACTATTAAAGATTTGCGATGCGCATAAAGCCTGGAAGGTCTTATCTAAACACCACCACCACCACCACCACCACCACCACCACCACCACCACCACCACAATATCAGCCACGAAAAAGCAAAAATGAACTTGCGACCCTGTCCTGGACTCCCTTTACTTGCTGTCTGATGGCCTATCACGTGGTCCGTATCCGTTTTGTGAGCTGTATTCTGGATTAGTGAGACCGTCTGCTAACTACTCCCACACACACCCGAGGGAGACGGACTTCTCACGTTGACTGCCCATTTCATCTGCATTTTGCTCTGCGTAAGACCACGGTGTTTAGAGACTTCGATGAGGCTGCTGAGGCCATTTCAACGTAAAGGCATATCCTCTGTTTCTCGTTTTCATCCCAGTCGTGAGATTCGGCAGTAAATCCAGTGCGAAGCGGTCATGATCTTTGGCGTTGATCAGCTCCTCAAAGAGCGTCATTTCGTCTGCTTCCAGTTTTTGAGAGAAAGAGACAAATTCTTGCATGATTAACTCTCCTGGGGACTGGACGCCAGCCCAGGTGTCGGCGGCGGCGGCGGCGGCGCCAGGTGCGCGCATCCCGCTCGCTGGCGTCCTGCCGACCAATCGGCGTTGAGCGTTGGCGTCCGGTGCTTTGCGTTCCAGCGTAAGTTGCACGCGGTCGCGCGTGGAGGAGAATTAAATGGGCTAAACATTCGAACGCTTCAATACCAGTTAGTAGCTCAAAGGTAAGGAGAGAGAGAGAGAGAGAGGCGTGTAGAGGACGATCATGAAGCCTTTTCTTTCTCATTTTGAATACTGATCCCGCCCAGAGATTCTGCTCCTGTCAGTGAAGTCAGCAAATAGACATGTCTGCTTTTATATCCCGTCTGGGCTTACATTCTACACCTCTCCCCCCCTACATACTTTGATTCTCAACTGTAGATTGTGATGCAGGGCCGGTGCATAAAGCTTCTTTGTTTCAGATCACTTTGTGATCAAGCACACTACGTGCGCTACGTCCTTCAACCAAGCCACCTCAGATGAACTGTTCAATCGCAGACATGAGGACGTAGTTCCATAGGTCAGGGCATTAGAGAACTGCCTTTTTGCTTGTCTGTAGGGTCGTAGCCGAGGTCATTATTGCCCGAAATTTCGGTACGCTTGGTCGATGATCATGCATGGGCCAGGAATGGCCACCCCAGCCCCTCGCCTGTTACCGGACATGACCTCGAGACAGAGAACGGGCTTTCGTTTTGTCCTGCAGCTCTGGTACAAAGCCTCAAGGGCAGGCGCTCGTAAATCAAATTGCTTACTCAATGAGTGAAGCAGTCGAGACTCCATCTTTCCTAAACGATCGCCTGAATTCTGACCCGTCAGCTTGCATGTATAGATATCCCTCAGCTTACTTGATTAGGAATGGCACTAGTCCATTAGGGACTAAGGCAAGGCTCGGAAACGCGGTCCTACTTGGAATCGAGGAAGCCCAACACGGGAAACTGTGGTAAAAGGAGCTTCACGGGTGGGGCTGTGGGAAAGCAGTGAAGAATGTGCAAAAACTAAGGTATAACAGGTAAATGTGTTAGTTTGTTTTAGTGGGTAGAAAAATCTCGGCGTATACAGCGCGCTACACAAAAATTCACCGCAGGTAACCCAGTACAACCAATTCCACGAGCAATAAGCGTGATTGGCTCGTCAAGGTCATTGAAGCTGAACCGACCAAGAATGTGACCAATCAGACGTAAGCCGTAGATGAAATTTGTAGAAAGTGGGTGTGAATGACTCCCTAAACCTAAACACTGACACTACACCTCAGTTCCTGACCCCAAGCCCTAATCCTTACGCTAAACCTTAAGCCCCAACCACAAAACCCGAACCCTAACGTTATTTTGAATCATAATCACAGCAGTCCGCGCAGCACCTGGAATCAATAACAGTACGAAAGTGATAATTTGTTGACTAAGTAGAATCGCGTATCCGAACCCCACTTAAACTACTGCAACTCAAGACCATAGTTAGGGCTTGATTGACCTAACATAGACGGGGCGAACCAGAACGCCAATTGCTGTCGTGTTGCCTTCCCTTCGGTCAGCCGAATTCCTACCCCAAAGGTGGCTGGCTGATAATGTCCAACGAACAAGAAACGGCGATTTCGGTATTTCACGTCCTTGTTGACAATACGCATAGGCAAGTGCCCCCTCCTCATAAGGCGAGCGTCTGCGAGGCTTCTGATCTGGGGGTCAGATCAGACCAGTGAACTGCACTCTCGAATCAATTTCAACAGCAAATTTTGTACAGTAAACTGGAGTAAGGAACTTAAAGTTTAATTGACTGACTAGGATGGCGAAGACGGCGGCGGCCAGTTATGCGTCTTCCTCTCCTCCGGCGGTGGCCTGCAAACTGGCCAATGGGTCTCCTCAAGTTGTCATCTCCGACTGGGTTTCCTGTGCGAACAAACTGAGGACGCTGACCCGGCGACCGCACAACCTCCCGTCACAGCCGCGGCGCCTCTTCAACTCGTGGTCACGCCACCAGCCCATCTGTCACCATGCCTACCGGGATTCTTCCTCTTCATTGGCACCTGTTACCGCCTCCTACCGACATCGCCAGCGCCGCATTCAGAAGCCGCCGAGACTTGTCAGAACCACACCAGCCCAGTTGCAGTAACCCTGGCGCTACCCCGAAGCCCTGTACATCTGGCATTTCTGCGATTCTTACTCACTGCCCGGCTCTCCGACGGTGAGACCACCACCCTGATGAAGGATCAGCGCGCGTGGATATCGGTCACTGCTTCGGTAAACAAGGTGCGTTCTTTTCTGCCCCCTTGAGAATGTCGATTTTCTTTACGCGCGATTTACCAAACTAGCCAATCGAGGGCATTTTAGAATCCGCTCCCTCTGATTGGCCAGAAATCTGCGAAACTAATTGTGCTTACACGTTAAGGACTGGCCAGTTTCTCCTGGTTGACGGCGACCGCGCTTTGTGACCTTTAACCCATGCAAATAGACTTGAACCCCACACACGTCTTCGAGTTCCTTTTTATGGACGTCACTCATTTTTTGATTCAATCGCCTTGTCGGGTTACTACAATGCTCCATTAAAATGCGTCCTCTCATTTTGAAAAAAAAACCAGTTAACATTGGATAGGAAAGAAGACAGGTTACTCTTGCTCAATCACATTTCATCAATGTGCGATAGGGGATCTTGATCTCATGGTTAAGCTAGACAAAAATGAGGACTGCCAAGGCCGCTAGATTGTCGCAGGTGCCAAGCCCGCCTGGGACGCGGGTTGGGCGTCGACTTTACGCCTGTCGCCAATCACATCTGCAGTCGGATCGACTTGGACAGGCCACGGGAAGGTGCGAGGAGAAAGGGGGGCAGGTGAGGTCGACCAAACTCGTGTTCAGACTCTTAACTATGATCTGAGGAAACTGAAGTGCTCACCGGATCAAGGGACTTGCTTGGCTGACGTTTCAAAGAGCTGGGGCTGCTCTCCACTAGCAAAGTGTCTAATGAAAAAAATCGATCAGAATTTTGAATAGACAGCCGGAGTAGTTGGCCTTGGGCTGATCGATTTTTTTGTTCTTACGCTGCCTTGGCCTACTGGCCGTCACCTGTGAGTGTTGGTGGCCTCTTGTATTGTGTGTCGCACCCCTCAATTGGGGTTAGTTGCGTTTGGCGTCTTTCCTCCTCCTCCTCC